TTTTCTTTTCCCCAGACCATTTGTGTACTATTGAGAAGCAGAGAGATGTATGCCTGCTGTAAAAGGTAATTGAGGAGAGTTGACCTAAGACTCCGCACTCTGTAGCAGCTCTTAGCTTTCTTCAACATACAACAATTTATGCAGCCATTATACAACGTACTTAAAGTAGGTAACAGAAAAAAGTTATGGGGAGTAAAGATGGAAGGCATGATGTTGAATACACGCAGTGGTGTAATGGAAGAAAAGGAGACCACTGATGGGTCACAAGCCAGAAAGGGGCACTTGACTGACTTACAGGGTGCTTGACTGACTTACAGGGTGCTTGACATGAGTTGACAGGGGCTGTATGCTCATTGAGGAAGAAGAGCTCGTCTCCAGGGTTTTTATCATTTTCTTCTCTTGTCTATTGTGTTAATATAGTACTGTTTTCTTTTGCAGGCAGTAAAACAGTCAATGTACAACATTCCAAAGTCAACAATGAACTAAGGTGAGACCTGTTGACACATCTGTATTTTGGTAGACCTTATGGACTTATATGTGTGTGTGCTCACCACCAGTCATGTATATGTTTATTGTTCTGTTAAATCAGTGATTTGTATCTGTCACTGTATCAGTCAATCATGCGTGTCTATAATTCTGGAAAGCTGTTGCGCAAGATCGATATAGATGGTACAGTCTTCATTGAGTGATTAGGGCAGCAGACCGCCTTGCGTTGATTTAGGCAGTGGTATGGAGAGCTACCGTTTGCAGAGTTCACTTTTTAATTTATTCCTTATATATATATATATATATATATATATATATATATATATATATATATATATATATATATATCATATTATTTCAAAATACATTATTTTATTTTTTTGCTATTTACCACGTGATTATTATTATTATTACTATTATCATCATCATCATCATCTAATGTTTTTCTAAGCACTTAAATAAGGCCTTAGTCTCTTGAGCCCTCTCCCTCTTCTTTAGAGAATATACAAAAAGGCACAGTTTTCCCCTCGCCTACCCTCTCTCCATCCTCTCTTTCTTCTTCACCTCCCCCTCCCACGAAAGTTTTCTCTGTCTTTGCACTCTTCCCTTCGGTTTTTGAACTCTCATAGGAGCTTAAGGCTCCAACCACTCCTAAAACATTCTTTGTAGGCCTTTTCAGGATTAGTTAGACTTTTCAGCTATTTTCTGTGGAACCAGAGAGCAAGTCTCATGGCAACTTTCCTGATACATCTGTGACAACGTGCTTGCTAGGTTGCAGTATTACTACTGTCCTTTGCTTCCCGGGGAGGAGTGGCTACCCGAACGGTTAGAACGCTGAACTCTCAAGCGGGAGTCCTAGGTTCGAATCCTCGGTAAGGCTGGGGATTTTTTTTTGTCCGGGGCAAAATAAAATCCTTATCTGCACCGTCGTGGCGACAGCACTGGCCGTGCGGCCGTAAATCCTCAAACTCAAAGACCACCCTGCCTACACCGCAAAAAAAAAAAAAAGAAAAAGGTAAAATAAACGCAGTATTTGTCATTTTTTTCCTTTCCTGTGCGACTCTGGTAACATTGGGTAAAAGTAAAGTAAAGGACCCTTTTCCTGGCCCTTAGGTCTATTGGGCATATAGGGCTAGACCTATATTTTATAAAACAATCGGCACTCAGTGGGTGATATGGTCAGCCGCCTTTAATTCCAATGACTTTATCTGGTACCCATTTCAGGCTGCGTCAGCCTGGGAGTCAAGGTCATTTTTGAAAAAAAGTCCGGCTCCGTGGGGGTCATTTATTTCCCTGGATATTTTCTGGTAGCTATTGCGTGGGACACATGTATTTCCCCTGATATTTTCTGGTAGCTGTTCCTCATTTTTAGAGAAGAGAGAATAGAAACTTACCAAACAGGCACTGTCATGGGAAATGGAGAGATTGGGGAAACGCAGACGTCCAAGTGAAACCCTAAGGCGGATGTCAGTGAGAGAAGCCAAAGGTGCTAGAATGGATTTCATCCATGGCATCAAAGTAATTGCAAAGGATAGAATTTGTTGATTGGCACCTCTCTGTCTTTTCAGACGATAGTGTTATATTGCGCTATGAGGAGAAGTGGGACTCACAGCCCATGGCGATGGCGAGTATGACTAGCAAGATCTGCCCGTGCCAAGAAGAGTCTTCCACAATGATAGCATAAGATTTCAGGACTTTTGTTGTCAACATCCATAGCACAAAGCCAGGGCAGTATTGTAGAGATCATATGTTGCCCATGCATCATGATCCCTCGCTCGTCCTGCCTTTTTTACTCCAAAGTAAAGGTAAAACCAGTACGTTTAAAACAAAGCATGCTGCAGAAGCTGCCGGATCAGAAGAGCAGTGCTCTATCTGTCCGCCTGTCGGAGCTTCCCTCCTAGACAAACTGCCAGTCATGACTGATGACCTGGTCAGCCCTGCCGTAACATAGTTTTCAGGTTGCCTTTCCTCTTCCTTGGATAAGGCTAGTATCCTCTCCATTCCGCCCGAAGCCGTTGACACAATATGGGATGTTAGGTTTGGTATACGCCGCCCAACATTCGGCATAACAGAAGACAGGTGGTACCGACTACTGTTATACGGTAGCTCAGTCATATCTGACTAAGACCTGACCACTATAGGATAGAATGGAATAAATAAAGACTGCGAGACTTTGTCACATATAATGACACGCCAGACAGTAAATAAATTGCGTAGGGCACATATATTTTTCGCAATGTTTTCTGGTAGCTATACATTTATGTCCATGGATTTTTTTTTTCTTGTATCTACTAGATAAGTTAGTTGAGTATCCTTGACAGGACGTTGCAGAACCAACCCCAACAGCCCCTGGCTGTTATGTGGTTTTCTAGGCAAATTTACGTCCAGTAGTTTGCCATTTCTTCATAGACGGCCGGTTTTTTTGATACGACTGTCGAAACCAACGCAAGGCACATGGCCCGCAGCTGGGATCGAACCTGACATCCCTGCTTTACGAAGCGTTCGCATCGACTTAGCCACAGAGCCGACATTTACTGGATAGAGCACATTTATTTCCTATGATTTGTTTTCTGGTGGGGCACATTTATTTCCCTGATTATTTTCTGATATATTTATATAGACACACACACACACACACACACATTATATATATATAAGCTGTACTAATCCAGCTACTTTTTGGTTATTAAAATTCGGACAACAGTTTCTGCTGTCAAACTCAGTAACAGCCAAGCCACTGTGGCTGTTTAAAATATCAGGCACATTTCATTTACAAGTTTGTTTTCTAGGTAAATTGAACAATGGACCATCATCATCAGGTGCCTTGCCAACTGGCGTGGGCATCGTGCCTCTCCACAATCTGCGATCTCCTGCAGCATGTATCAGTTCATGTGCCGACACACCTCCATGCTATGCAACAAGACTGTCAAGCATCTTCTTTTGTTGTCTTCCTCTATCCCTCCTTCCACAGATCTTTCCAGTGGTCACAACATGTTCAATTTTCCCTCTTCTCTGATGTCTGTGATAAGTTGTCTTCGGGCTCCAGCCTCTTTCAAAACCTCTTGCTTGCTCTTTTTGGCTGTCCATGGTATTGTAAGCATTCTTCTGTAAAACCACATCTTTGAGGCCTCAAAAAATTGTTTGACCTGACTACTGATTGTCCAGGATTCACAGCCATATGTTAAAACTGGATGTATGTAGCAAGCAAGAATTCTTTTTCCAACTCTCAATGACAAGGATATGTTGCACAAGATGTTTTTCATTTTATAAAATGCAGTTATTGCCTGTCCTATTCTGTTTCTTATCTCAGTTGTGCATTTTCCATCTGATGTTATCCATGTGCCCAGATACTTAAATTTCTGTACTTGTCCTAAAATAACACCATCGACTTTTATTACACATTTAGGAATAATTCGTTTCTTTGATACCACCATTACTTCTGTCTTCCCATTATTCAAACTGAGGCCAGTTCTTCCACTGTCTAACACCACAATGTCTATTATTTCCTGTAGTTCTTTCTGACTTGTTGCTATCAAGACAGTGTCATCAGCATAACGTAAATTGTTTATATTGTGCCCACCAACCACAATTCCGGGCATATCGATTAAAGATCGCATTATATATTCACTGTATATTGAAAACAAATCAGGTGACAGTACACATCCTTGTCGTTCGCCCCTCTTTATACTTTGAAATGTACCTAAATGGACACATTGTTATAAATGAACAATGGACACATTGTTATAAATGAACAATGGACACATTGTTATAAATGAACAATGGACACATTGTTATAAAAATAACAAAAGAATATGTGTATTTTTAGTTTCCCTTGTTAGTTCTGAGTCCCAGTTGTTTTCATGTGTGTGTTTGTGCACGTGTGCGTGTGTGTGTGAAAAAAAGGGGTGCAGTGTGTGTGTGGGGGGGGGGGGTGAGACCCACTATACCCCTGACAAGCATGTCATTAGGCAGCTTCTTCTTCTTCACATAAACCGGTTGTAAACTCTTGTGAAAATGTCTGGTTGTCTATCCACTTCTGGACCTTAGTCTAGCTTCAGAATTTGCGTGCACATCCATTTTATAGATCTAACTTTCTTCTGTGCAGACAGTTGGTTCCTTGCCTCTCAGGCAGATAAACTCCACTTTTAAAGGAAACCCCTAATTAATTAGTCCACTTTTTTGACATGCTTATTAGGAAAACTTTAAGTCTGTTTTGTTTTTCCTCCACAATGCACAATGGACCAAACAGAAGAGTAGGACAACTAATTAAGGGTTTGCTCAAATCAGATTTGTTGGGCTAAAAGGCACAGATATCACAGCCTAGCTGTAAACCACAAAACATTATGCCCACAGTCCTATCAAGGCCTAATACAGAAGAAGAGATATTTAATTCATTGTTGTGTATTCATACTTCCTTTGATTTCTTGATTGGCTGCTTGTGATGCAGTAGAACAGTATGAATCATCTAATGACTGAAATCATGCTGCAGGTACTCACTGGGTATCTACTTTGCCATGGTGAAGGCAGCACTAGCAGCAGTAGAGATGTTTTCCCACACCTCTAGTATTACTATGGTAGGTATTGTAAGATGGAAGGTAACCATTTGGTTTGCCATAAATAGTCATTAGTAAATTCTGTGGTTAGTTTTTGAGATGGAAGGTTTGCCATAAGTAGATCTAGGGCTTTTCCTTTGTTACAAATAAAATTATTACAAGTAAAAGTGGTCTCATTGACATTACCATTGTAGGGGTTTAAAAATTTTTTTTATGGATCCAGTAATTTATTACTTTCATCTTTGTTGCAGTACTCAAGCCCCTGTCATAGATTTAGGGTTTCATTTATTAAATGCTATATATATATATATATATATATATATATATATATATATATATATATATATATATATATATATATATATATATATATATATATATATATATATATATATATATGATTGTGTGAAACATGAAATAATCACAATGTTGGAAAAGTTAAACAAGGATGGAGAAGATTTAAGAATTAAAAAGAACATGTATTGGCAGCAAACAGCAGCTATAAGAATTTATAAACATTTTGGAACATTTCAGAGCATAAAGATGGGAGTACGACGAGTATGTGTACCATCACCTGATTTGTTTTCATTATACAGTGAATATATAATGAGATATGTCATGGATATGCCCGGAATTTTGGTTGGTGGTCATAACATAAACAACCTACGTTATGCTGATGATACCGTCTTGGCAGAAACAAGTCAGAAAGTATTACATGATTGAGTAGAAGAAGAGTAGATACAGTGCTGGTAGAAAGTGATCAAACGGGACTCAGTTTAAATAAGAGGAGAACAGAAGTAATGGTGATTTCCAAGAAAAGTATAGTGTCTAAATGTATAAAAGAGTCAAAGGCCTTATTTTAGAACAGGTACAGAAATGTAAGTATCTAGGCTCACGGATAACCTCCAATGGAAGATATATTACAGAGATAAAGAACAGAATAGGACAGGCCAAAACTGGCTTTTATTAAATGAAGAACGTTTTATGCAATAAATCTGTGTCATTGGAGGTTAGGAGAACACTGGAGAACCAGTTTTAACATACAGCTGTGGATCCTGGACAATTAATAAACAATATCTTGTTGCCTCAGAGGTGTGGTTTTACAGAAGAATCCTTAGAATTCCTTAGACCAGTGATTCCCAAACTGTGCCCCATGGCGCCCCCGGGAGCCGCGACCTCTTCACAGGGGCGCCACAAAATATTCAAAGATACACAAGTTTTATTTGTTTTGATTTCTTACATACAAAAACATACTTCTTCTTTTACTTATGTTATGGCGCTGTGGAAAAAACTTTAATTGTAAAAAGGTGCAGCAACTAAGAAATGTTTGGGAAACACTGCCTTAGACAGCTAAGAAGATGTTTTGAAAAAGGCAGGTGCTCGAAGACAACTTATCACGAACATCAGAAAGAGAAAGTCATCATTTTTTGGTCACATTAGGAGAAGAGGGAAAATGGAACATGTTTAAGCAACTGAAAGATTTGTGGAAAGAGAGACAGAGGAAGACAACACAAGAAGATTCTTGAAAGCCTTCTGTCATGGCATGGAGGGGTGTCAACACATGAACCGATACATACAGTTAGAAATAGTGTCCTTACTCTTCCCTATATTGTATTTGTAGAAGAATAATTAATTCAGTGGTTTAAAAATCTTATGAGAATGTAATTGAATCAGCTACAACTTCGTTCTTACAACCAACAAAGAGCTAGACAAAATGTTTAAATCAGAAGCGTGGATTTTATCAAAGGTATTGTAAGTAAAGTAAAGGACCCTTTTCCATGCCTTAAGGCGTATTGGGCATATAGGGCTAGACCTATATTTTATAGACCAATCCACACTTGGTGGGTGATGTGGTCAGCATCATACTGGCCACCTTTACTTCCTAGGATTGCACCTGGTACCCATTCAAGTTTGGGTCAACCTGTCATTTGGGAAAAAAGTCTGGCTCCATTAGGACCACAACCCATGACCTTCTGATCTGCAGGCGAGTGTCTAGCCACTACACCATGGTGACTTCTTTCAGAGCCCTTGATGTTCATTGCTGCAGGCATCCACCTCCTTCATTCATCCACCTCCTTCATTCATCTCTTTTATTGGTTTTCTCTTTCCACTTGGTGAATCCAAGCGTTTGTAGGTTTGACTCTCCACATAATGGATGTGTCTGGAGTGCTGTGAAAATAATCCAGCTCATAACTCATAACTCCCCACAGTGTAGATGTGTCTGGAGTGCTGTGAGGATAATCCAACTCATAATTCTCCACAGTGTAGATGTGTTTGGAGTGTTGTGAAGATAATCCAACTCATAACACCCCACAGGGTGGATGTGTTTGGAGTGTTGTGAAGATAATCCAACTCATAACACCCCACAGTGTGGATGAGTTTGAAGTGTTGTGAAGATAATCCAACTCTCAACTCATAACACCCCACAGTGTGGATGTATGGAGTGCTGTGAAGATAATCCAACTATAACTCTCCACCATCTTCATGGTCTGCCTCGTGATCTACTCCTACTCAGCTTTGTGTGTGTGTGTGTTTCTTTGTTTCTTTGTTGACCTCTCTTTTTTCTGCCACTCATCGCATATTTCCCAACTTACTCAATATATTAGCCCTTGTTATGTCAGTAATAATACTTTCCATGTAATAACAACTAATTGTCTCAAATTAAATAACTGAGGCTTCACCTATGCACAGTGACAAACATCACTCACAAGTCATCTAAATAAAGATACATAATTCATCTGTATGAGGATGTGTAGAAAATTAATGTCATGTGTTATACATTTTCTGTGTGTTATAATGTAATTAGCTTATTTTTTACATTGTAGGCAAAAAGAAAATGTAAGGATGTCTTGCAAGAGAATTGCTCCAAGTTAGGCAGCCATTCATTAACAGATTACTTATCAAAGAGGTGATTATCAATATATTACTTTATATAATGGAGATTTTTGACATTGATCCGTCTGTTATGGGCATAAGGAAATATTTTAAGAAAGAGAGATAACCAGCATCAAATTAACTCTTTCACTCTAGGAATTCTTAGAAAATTGGATCTTGAACCCATAGAATTCTGTAAACCACCCACCCCTTAGAAAAAAAAAAACACATCTTACACAGGTCACTAATACATTTTTTAAAATTATAAATTTATTTGTATTGTTAAATTTTTATTTCAAAATATAGAAAGATAAAACTGATTAGGTTTCATATGGAAACTTCCTGAATCTATTTTTAGTTAATATATGGGACTCCTGTAAACACTGCAAAGGAGGGTCGAGTGGTCTCGAGGTATGGTATCCACCTTGAAATCTGCAAGTCCTGGGTTCAAACCCCGATAAAGGCTGGGATTTTTTGTTACATGGACTAGAAATAATGTTTCCTGGTCTCTGGGTAGTAAGACCAGATGCCCGTGTATATTGTTGCACACGTTAAACATCCCGCAGCAGTTGGAAATAAAAAAAACACAATAGTAGCCTGGCGGCGCTGCCTGGGCAAAATCTGGAGTTAAAAATCTACCCAAAGTATTTCAGGATCTTCTCCAGTGCAACTCAGCCATGATGTTGATCCGTAATAAACCAAACCAATAATAAACTAGGGATTGTCGCCCGAGCTTCAGAGATCATGCTCTGTGTGAAGCTCTCAGCAGGCAGTTTGCTGTTCTGCTGAGAGAGACTGAACCATATGGGATAAAACCTGGTGCAATGAAGTTGACCCTCTCAACTTTACTTTACCTTTTACTTTTTATCATCGTGTATGCTGTTGTTTGTCCACCAAAAGATATCTCCTCTTGTCATCTAATGAAATTAAATTATTACAAGCAGGAAGTTGACCAATGAGGCTGATGCTACCCGGATAGCTCTCATTGAGTGTGGCCAGAAGATGGTAGACATACTAGAATAGGAGTTTGTGGCACTGGGCTTTTCCTGCTGTTTGCAGTGTGGATGGATCTTTGGCAACAACTTCTCATGTATTCATGTTAATGCTTCGTATGCCACACTTGAAATGTGACACTTTACTATATTGCTCAGTTACGCTACACCACTGATGTAACTAGTATGAGTGCCTTGGTACTTAACATGACCTTGCCCACAAGGCGAGAGTTCCTTCCCCTTCCATTCATGCTGCGGCCAGTCCCACTCATAAACAGTCCTGCCTGTGGCGCTTCCGCTGCAGTGTTTCCTACTTGTACACAAGCACCTGTGGTGCCTCAAAGAGGTTCACAACAACAGCACCTCTGACAAATACATACGGTGAGAAAACGTTGAACGAATCCATCTCTCAAAACCCACACAAAATTGGACAGCCAGTGCGACCAGCCACGACAGGAATTGGAGGGGAAGGAAGGAACTCTCCCAGTGTCAGTAAGTCCGTGATAAATTCCGGGTACCTCTGTTACATCTTATTTCAATACTGAATGGGATGTCTGGCAGGTGCCCTGTTGGCTTGTCATCCAGATTTAGATTTTGTCATTTCAAATCTTCACGTAGCAGCCATATACCAACAAATATACATACATAAACATATGTTTGCAACAATATGAATAAAATAATCCAGGTTAATATTTATATTTGGAATAATAGACTTCTTTAAAACTACATTCATCATGTGTGTGTAAGCATGCGTGCTTTCCTGTGCATGTGTATATATATATATATATATATATTTTTTTTTTTAGGTTTGTCTTTTGTTTACTTTCAAGGGGTATATTTATACTCTATTATATTGTTTTGCTTAATTTTCAGCACCAATGTGGAAATCACCATTGACACTCTGACCTGTAATGACAAGTAAAGAGCATGTCTTTATGTTAACTGTTGTAATTTCTTCTATGTTAAAACAGTGGTAGTGAGTTTTTGTTTGTCGTTAATTACTGTAAACTGGGCTTATATTCAGTTTGAAGCATTGTTAATTATTAATTACTGAGAGTAAGCCCATGGTCAGTTTTGATACAACAGTTAATGCGGATAGGCTTCTTTAATATGCCTAGCAAAAATGTTTAAAAAAAATTATACAACACATTACCAAATGGTTGGAATTTAAAGAAAGAGCAAATCACACATCACTTTCTCTCAGGAACTGATAGGGTTCAAGCAAGTTGATTTTGTCACTTGGTCGTTAAGGTAGTCGGCTGAAATAATGGCCTACCACAGCGGCAATATAAAAATTTAACTTCGAATCTCACAGTCACCATTTCGTCTTGTCCCTGTCCGAGAACATCTGGTAAAGTGCAGCAGGAGAAGATCGAGGTCATAACCCAGGTTGGCCCACCCTCTGAAGTTGTCTAGGATGTAATGGGCCAAAGCAATTATCGACGAGGGATCTTCTACTGATGATCGGTAGACTCCTGCTGTACACGCTCCCTGTGGAGTTATTCTTAATCTATAATAAAATTAACATGTCAATCACTGAAGTCTCTACATTAAAAATATAACTTGCACAAAATTTAAGAGCACAATTTTCAAAACTGATGAGTTAAAATAGAAAATATATTCTACCACTATGAATCAATAATACTTTCAGAGAAGAGCCATTACATGATGGAAAGACAAACACAAAAATGAAGTATATCAGCATTGCTTTGTATGACATCCCAGCTGCAGATGGGGCCAAATCTTTAGGGTCCATGATGTTTGGAGAGACCTTTTTAGACTCCAGGATCTCTGTTGCAGGTACTTATGTAACATTTGACGTTGTTGGTAGCTTTCATTCAGTTCTGTCTCACCTATAATTTTTCTGTATATTCATATTTATCCTTTAGTGTTTCAAACACAACATTCTCCACTCAGTGGACATCTAAACAGAATGCAGCCACAACACTTCGCAGAGTGCCAGCTATGTAACTACCCCTACGAAACTGTTGAACACCATCTCTTTGAGTGCGCAAAACTCAGTGAGTCCGAAACCAGACATTTGGAACACCTTGTACGGAGGAAAAGAACAGCTTGTGGAAACATGCAAATTCCACTGCATGGCATTGGGCCAAAGGGTGAAAGCTCATGCGCCACTGGATCGATAACAACAACAACAATAACAACAATCCTTTAGTGTTTCACAAAGCTCACATGTAACTGGCTTGTATTTTGCATCCATATAATTCCCTTCAATGGCTTGTACAAGGAAGGCTTTATTGTAATGCTTCAATATATTTAAGTTCTATACTTTCCTACCCTCAGTCTAAATGCAACTGTCTACCAATGATAGTGATAATGTATTAATTAGCTTTAAGATCGGTCCAAAACCTCAGTTTCACATTGTTGTAGCTAAGATCCTAAAAGACCATGTAAGTAAAAAAAAAAAGGCCTATTTCCACAACATTAGGCGTATTGGGCATGGAGCTCTAAACCTATATTTTATAGTCCAAACCACACACTGTGAATGATATGGTCAACATCTTGCCAGCCACATTTACTTCCCAGAACTTTATCTGGTACCCAATTAAGGCTGCGTCAAGCTGAGAGCCAAGGTCATTTAAAAAATAAATTCCTGCTTCATACAGATTTGAATCTACAACCCCTAGGCCCAAGGGAAGCATCTAGCCGCTACACCATGCCAGCTCCCTAAAACACTATGTACCATAAAGTTTATGCAAGTGACTAGCTCTTCCCAGTTTATAATGAAAGTTAATTGTTGTCTCTTGTATTTATTAAGTTTGTATGTTATCTGAGAAGTGAGTGTCTAAGGTAGTTCATGTCTCAATGTCTAAAATATGGAAACATGAGTTTTTCAACCACAGTAAGCCAAAGGTTTTCGTAAACAATCAGAGGTGACTTTAAAAACAAAAACTTGCCTACACATTGTGCAGTGACTGTCAGGAAAAAAGCAAGCATTAGATATCAGTCCATAATGGGTTTTTTATTTGTTTTATTGGCACATTTTCATCTTTCTAGACCAGGGGTTGGCAAATCCAGGCTTGTGAGCTATTTAGCGACCCAAGTGCGACTCGGCCAATCGGCCACAAATCGGCCTTGACTCCAAAAAACATGGTTCTTGACAGGTTCTTAAAAAGAAATTTAGCTCTAAAAAAATATTCATCTTCCTGCTGTTGATTTTTGGCTCTTTTGACTAATGAGTTTTCCGACCACTGTTTTAGTCTATAATGTCCTATTGGGCTATGGGGAGGCATTTGAATCATAAGCAATGACATGTGTGGCTAGCAAGACCAGCTCTCCTTAGCAGAAGTTTTACACAATTAGGGCATGGAATTTCAGGACCATTTCTGCCATTACATTATTTAATGAGCTTCTTCTCAGTTGCTCAGCACTGAACTTATCTGTAGCTATTTGCTTTTTTATTCTTATTTCCTTTGTGAATGTTCCCCAACTTAGCCCATATAAACTGCTAGTTTACATCAGGGATATATTAATATTATAATGACATGTGTTATCTATTTTCTGTCAGGTTCCCAAGATGTCACCTCAGATTACTTGATACTGACTTCTACCATTCCAAGACAACACATGTGGAGTGTGAGTAATAAACATGAATTGCTAGCTCTGTTTTCTTTCACTGAAGGTTTCATTTCTGTTTAAAACAATATGCATAATCTATTATCACTTTTCTTGATGCATGTTTTTTATTTTTTAAATTAACTTAGATTTCGAGGTACAACTTTATAAAAATATAAAGTCTTTTTCTTTTTCTCTTCTATGCATTCAGCGTCTGTAAACTCCAGTGGAAAGTCCTTTTTGTTCATCCATATCTGGACCTAAGTTCTTGTCCCAGAACTTGACCTTTGCATGCACATCCGCTTCACAGATTTACCTTATTTGTATGCAGACTGTTGGTTCCATGCTTCTCAGGCAGATGCACTCTGACTTCAAAGGAAAACATCTCTAATTAGTTGACTTTTACAACATGCTTGTTAGGGGGGCAATGGGTCAATTTTGTGTGTGTGTCCCTACAACAGGGCTCTTTAATACAAATGGGGAGAGAACATACAGTCAACGTCTCAAGTTTTATATGTCAGCGTTTTATAAAATGTCGGCTCTGTGGCAAAGTCGATGTGAATGCTTCATAATGCCGGGGTGCTGGGTTCAATCCCAGCTGTGAGTCATGCGCCTTGCGTTGGTTTTGACAGTGGTATCAGGAGGCCGACTGTCCAGAAGCAATGGCAAACTACTGGACATAAATTTACCTAGAAAAACCACACAACAGCCAAGGGTTGCTGGGGTTGGTTCTGCAATGTCCTGTAAAGGATACGCAACTAACCTTTTTATAAAATAATGTCAAAAGTATACTGTTAGTAAATAGTGTTCACTGAGAAATACAAAACAATTTGATTGCACAAAGGTGAGAAAATATAGAATTTACATAAATTATTGGGCATTTAGGAGAATTTGAAGGAACAGCTGACTGAGTGGTTGGAGAGCTTGGGTCTCAGTGGGACACCCTGAGTAAGAGATGGAGACTTTTTCTGTTGTGGGTAACAAATACAAATTCTGATCTGCACAGTTTGTGGCAACTGCACTAACCATGTGGCCTTAACTTCTCAGACTCAGGACTCATTGTCCTACACTACCTTAGAAACTGTAAATTTGGGCAGTAAAGTGAAATAGGAAAATGTACTGGCATAGTGGTTAATGTTGTTGTCAGTGAAGATAGTTTTCCGTATTTATCATGAAGATATCTTGACAGAATTTAATTCATAAAGAGAATTGGTCATGCGCATCAGAAGAAGGAAACTAATTGTTCTTTGGGTACATCATGTGAAGAAAAAAACTGGAATACATTGTGACAACAGAATGTTGGAAGGATAAGGAGACAAGGGGATACAGTGATTTAAGATGTTAGACACTTTAGCATTTTTGAGTGGAGGGACATCTGTAAAAACATTATTGACAGTACACCGGACAGAAGGGTGTGAATGGACATGATTGCCACTTTCCCCCCAGCAGGGACTTAAATAAGAACAGCTATTTGATACACAATTAGTTGAGAATCAAGGTCTCTGTAAAATTGACCTGTTTTACTTTGTGATTCTCTCTCTCTCTCCTCTCTCTCTCTCTCTCTCTCTCTCTCTCTCTCTCTCTCTCTCTCTCTCTCTCTCTCTCTCTCTCTCTCTCTCTCTCTCTCTCCATCCTTGCTAAATTTATAATGAGTTAACAGTAAATCACTACTGAATGCAGTTTTACCACATTGTTGTTTGTCAGTTAATATATTTATTTCTGTCAAACATTTATTTTAGTGTATCCCTCTTCCTGTCTGTGTCTATGTAGCCATTGCCACATTTATATTCAATGTTTTACATGTACAGTTTTGACCTTTACATTTCTGTTTCTTGTGTTTTACCTACAGGCTCCTGTTTCTTATCACCGTATTGGTAATGACACATCTTTTATTTCCAAGGATGAGATCTCTTATATTACGTTTTAGAAGAAGGAAATACAGATTCTTCACCCATTTAGTTTAAACATTTATACTGAGAACACTGTAACCCCTGAGATCTGGAAAGTTTTAAAGTTCACTTGATTTATGTGGTCTTTGTCAGGGAGTAAGTGAAGTTTGCTAGTGATATCATGATAGTTAAATAAAGTTTCTAAGACAATGAATAAGGAATGTTTAGTAAGTAAAGACAAATTGTTTCCTAAATTATCACAACTTAGTTTATACATTATTCTCAAAAAACAACTGAGAAAACATGAATGTAGAAGAGAGAAGGGGAAAAAAACATAAGAGGGATTATTCATGTGATATAAAATAAAATAATGGCATACTTTACTGAAACAAATTAAAAAAAGAATCTTGAAAAAAAAAAAAGAATAAGAAAAAAGAAGACCTTTTATCTATCACACAATACAAATATACTACAGAGTAAAAAAAAAAAAAATTATCTTAGATAAAGGTGACAAAACAGGACATTTTTTAAAATCCCATAAATTGTATTGGACTTAAATAAATATATTGCAGAATAAAAAACAATCATCTTAGATGATAATAATTTTAAAAATCAAATAATTAAAAAAAAACAACAACAGATGACTTGCTATCATACCAGAATGTATATTTTGTACACGGTAATGGCCATAACATTTTAGACTTTCCTTACTCAGCGATAGATATGTCTAGTATCAAGCCAGTTGTTGCTATATCCTAGCCCATTTTAGGCTATTTCAGACTGGCTGCTCTGGTCACTGAACCATTCCTTGTAGGTAGTTTAAAGAAAATCTGCTGCCAAATGGCACCTAGCCTCAGGGAGAAGTATTCATGATGGAAACCTGGACTGCATTGCTGTCAGCTGAAAAAGGTATCATGTATTTATTTATTTAATAACTCCAGAATTAATTTTCAAAATCTTGTCATGTAGTATCAGATCAATAACTGTGGTAGACCTTCATTAATATGTAAATGTTATTGTATATTCCTTCCCAAATCTCAGGACTGCTTTAACTCTTTGAGCCCCAAGGAACGCATCATACGTTCATGGCGTCCTACCTAGAAGCCCAATGAACGCGTAACGCGCCGATTTTATGACTTTATTTACTACCTCCTGGGCCTGTGATGCTAAAATTCCTGGGACTCAAAGAGTTAATTAAGGATGAAGACCACTTAGCTGCAGGTTTCTTGAGATATTTGTAATGCAGCAAGTGCTAGAGAGGCCAGCTCATGATTGATCTGGTTATCCTTATCTTCTTCTGCCTTTCCTCCCTTGATGAAGCATAGGCTATCCACTAACTCAAACCAAGTGATTTCATATACTTTGCCATGTTGTGGATGTCTTCATTTTACTCTCCTGTGTTTCTAGTTCTTCCTCCTTTTGTTTGTGTGTGTGTGTGTGTTTTTTTTTTTCTTTTGTTCTGTGGGTTCTAGTGCATGGACATGCTTGTTATATTAGTAAAGCCAGTTACCTATAATTGACCATATAAGGTTAAGACAGTTCTTACTTTTACATCACATGGCATGGAACATAATGAGATGTTGTAGTCCAGTACTGCATCAAATATGATACATTGAGGCAACCCTTTTATCCAGAAAGAACAGCAGTGGAACGTTAACTCTATTTAAGGTGAACGAAAGAAGAAGAAGAATTTATATCAGATGGACATTTATTCCAGACCAGCTCACTGACAAGGCAGGTTGTTGCAGTGTACCTCAGTGCTGGAATAACATTGTGAAACAACAAGGGATTTACGGAGACAGGACTGCTAGAGATGTTGCTTGTCTAGGCTGCGAGCCAATCTCTTGTTATAGAGCTGAATCTCAGCAGTACAGTAGTTACTCCCACTCGACAGACGATATAGCTGAGGGTGTTCACTTAATAGTAAGTTCAGCTAGCAGACTTTACCCATGTTCAAAATGAGCTTTGATAAACGTTTTCACCCAGGCCATAGGGGGGTAGGTTGATGTGAGCCAGACTGGACACACCCCCTATAGAGGCCACCAACTCCAAGATTTCCTGCCAGCTCAGTTCAGTTAATAGGTGAGCCTTTATATGTGGCATACAACATAGACGTATGGCATGAGTCTTGCCTGAGAATCTGTAAAACTATCTCCGTGCCAGCTGGCGCCCGAGGTGAAGTTCAGAGTAACTCCTTGTATACATCAAAATGACCTTAACTTTCTCTCACACCTGTGATCGATATCACCACACTACAAACCTAAATGATTTAAAAACAAAAAAAAATAACATTTCAATGAAAATATAGGAAAGTACCTATATGAACACCATTACTACCCATAGGAGATGTAAAATTTAAACAAAATTTAAACACACACACACACACAAAAAGCTTGTCAAACCAGTGATTTGATTTGCTACATATTTTGCAGGGCTAAGCACTTCTGAGTCTGTTAAGTTCTAGTTTAGATTTTGAGTTAGTTGTATGTTTTATAACTGGATACTCACTTTATTTGAATGCTGATATTAAATCCTCAGTAAAGCTGACTGTTTATAAACATGGACTTGCAGTAGAAAGTTCTGATTATGGCAGCTTTGCTCTCCATGGCTCGGACATAAGCAGTCTTTTACTCTATGATGCGGTAAGTAGGTTAAGGTGATCCTGATGAAGTAATTAACTCTTTGAGTCCCAAGGAACGCATCATGCGTTCATTGATTCCTACCTAGAAGCCCAATGAACGCAAGATGCACCGATTTTACGTTTCTCTTGACTACCCCTTCAGTCTGTGATGCTAAACCCCCTGGGACTCAAAGAGTTAATCACATTGTAGGTAAGATTTCTTCAAAATACCAAAGACTATCCACAAATAAAGTTCAGTTTGCTGCTGGAGGTAAAGTGAGCTGTAGTACTTTAAAGATGAAGATGTGTCTTCATATATAAGGTCACAGTTTTATGAAGTGAAGTGATCGGTTTCTTTCCTTCATTTCCTAAGGAAAAAACACAGTTTAGTTTCAGTTTTAATTCTCTTAAGTGAAGTAAACTTTTCTATTTTATACTGAGGGTCATTTAAAGATTTAATAATTTCTGCTTTATCATAGACACCCACTTCTTCTTTTTAAAGTCCATGCCGTGTGGTGTTGATAGTCATATCTTTTCACAACCTTCTATCTCGTGTATTTTCAATCAACTTTGACACAGATGATTTTCCATGTCATGTCAAACAGTCCAGCACCTATTCTCTTGGTCTCCTCCCTCTGCCTCTCCTTCCCTCCAACTTTCCTACTGTCATGATGAACTTAAGTTTTCTCTTTCTTTTCACATGACCACAGAATGTAGATTGTCTCTTTCTGATGTGGCTGTCAGTTCTATTCGTGAGTCAGTTTCTTTCATTATGTTTTCATTACTCTTTTTGTCTGTCCAGAATATTCTCATCATTCATTTGTAAAAACCACACTCTGCACCTTCCAGATAAGTTTTAACTAATTTATCAACTGTCCATGATTCACTTCCATATATCAAGATAGGATTAAATAGTTTTTAAGAATTCTCTTACTCATCTCAATTGACAAGGAAAGATTGCATAAATTCTTCATTCTTCATATTCTTCATTTTGTAAAACGCTGCCTTTGCTTGAGCTATTCGACATTTAACTTCCTTAATACATCTTCCATCTAATGTTATCAGGGTACCCAAGTACTTAAACATATCAACTTGCTTGAGGTTTCTCAGACACCAACACAGATCTTCTATTATGTATTTTTATTAAAATTATGTTACTGTTAATCATCACAGGAGGAAATAGTTTGCAGTTCAGTGCTTAATGGGTAGCACTGGCCATTTTCGCCTCATGTTGATAAATGTCTTTAATGTTAAAAATTCGTTTTTCTGCATGATCCTGCATTTTCTCTCATTTTTGATAATTTTAGATGTAGAGCCTGTTTTGGTAGTTGTTGTGGCTGCAGTCTAATGAGATGACAGAATATTTTATCTCAACGCAGTTGGTGAAATGTGTCATTTCCTAAGCCTGTTTGATAGTTTCATTTCTTATTTGGTCTTGAATGGTTAATTTAGCGGTGCAAAAAAAAATGACATGCATTTAACCAGGAAACAATCATGTAATTTATTTGGCATGAGGTGAAGATCACTTAATCATATTATCACTGTCTTTATTTATGCCCTTATGAAACCGCTTTTGTTTTGTATTTTATTATACTATTAATTAGGTCTGAAGAGTCAAGTCTTTTCGAAATCCAGTTCACAGATTTTTATTCATTTATTTATTATTATATTATTGTTTCCAAACGTCATGTAATTTGTTACTTTTATGGTCTCTTCCTTGGAAATTCTGATGTGTGTGTTTTTTTTTTTTTTTTTAAATTTTTTTTTTTTTACCTATTTCTTTTCCTGTACATTTGATGACATATTTGTAAACAACAATTTCTTTTCAAGAATTCCATGACAGACGTGGTCATTCTGATAGTGGAAATCAAACTGACTGCTGCTTTGACTGACTCCCTTCCCCCTCATCTTTACATACCATGTGATGACAGCAAAACCAGCAGGATTGTGTTTGCTTTTTGTCCACACAGCAAGCCGCACTCCCAGCTTTACGGAAATGTATGTATGGTTTTCCTTGTTTCAGTTTTAGTAACTAATCCTGTCACATGCTGCTGATGAAACATAAGCTATAACAGATTCAAGAATAAAGGATCCTTTATGCCAACAGCTTATCAGGCGTTAGATGCTAGACATATTTTTATAGACCAACCCGCACTCAGTGGTTGTTGTGGTCAGCATCACACAGGTCACCTACCCATTGTAGGCTACATCAACTTGGGAGCAAAGGTTAGTTTTGAAAAAAATCAAACTCAATGCAAATACAATCCCAAGACATTTGGGCCAGCAGGCATGTGTCTAAAAAATAAATTGTGTTCTTTTTAAATTTTTCAGCCTGAAAAATGTGTGATATTTGGATTTTATCTTGTGAATTCAAGCCATAGTGAAACGTGTTCTCCAACACTTTACATTTGGTCAGAGCATGCCAAGAAATTATGGCCATTTCCATTGCATATTATTAAGCTCCTTTGAAAGTCAAGCCCTCAGTATTTTCCTGACTGGTTTTGAGCATCTAGGGTAAAAACATTCAGCTCTCCTGCCACCTTAGGCCGTTAGCTGGACTGCCACCGATCGCTTATTGGGAGTTCTCTCCCTTTGCTGCATTGAAAACAAGGAGCGGAAAAGTCACGAATCAAATGATATACTTACCTATCATCATACGGTTGCATGTAGGGTTGCGTAGTCATCATACGGTTACGGTTAGCTATCATCATACGGTTGCGTGTGCAGTTGCGTAGTCATCATACGGTCATCATAGGGTTTGGGTTAGGGTTAGGGATAGGGTTAGCGGCGTTAGGGGCTGGTTTAGGATTTGGGCTATGGTTAGGGTTAGGGATAGGGATAGGGTTAGGGATAGGGTTAGGGTTTGGGTTAGGGATAGGGTTAGGGATAGGGTTAGGGTTTGTTAGGGTTAGGGTTAGGGTTAGGCTTAGGCTTAGGGTTAGGGTTAGGGTTAGGGTTTGTTAGGGTTAGGGTTAGGATTAGGATTAGGGTTAGGGGTAGGGTTAGATGTGAAAATTTTGACGTAGGAGTTTCAAATAATGGCCGACAATCTGATGCTTGTGGGAGTGGCGCCACTGGATGTCTCCCAAATATGACGGCAATAGCGCGCGGCTAGTGCGCAGTCGGTGGCGAATTGTCCGTTTGAGTAGCATCCACAGTCCTTTGATTGTTTGGGTGTGTATGTGACTGTGCACGATTATAGGGACCTCCTGCGTCACAATTGTCACATCTAACCCGTACCCTAACCCTACCTCTACCCCTAACTCTAACCCTACCCCTAACCCTACCCCTAACCCTAACCCTACCCCTAACCCTAACCCTACCCCTAACCACGCAAATTTATCGGTCATCAAAGCATACTGATCGGCAACAACAACAAAAAAAAAACCAGATTTCCCCGAAGCGTCAAATAAAAAAACACACCCAGATCTGGGGGAAACAACCAAGCATTGGCAGCCCTGATGTCGACCTCACTGTCTTCTTTGATTCGAGACTTTTTCGCTCCTTGTTTGCAATGCAGCGAAGGGAGAGAACTCCCACTAAGCGATCGGCGGCAGTCGAGCTAACGGCCTAAGGTGGCAGGAGAGCCAAACAAACTATCTACTGGCCATGAAACAACCACCAGTGTGCCAAATGATCAATGCAAATATTGGTCCAATATCATTTTTCAAATATACCTGCAAATGTATTAATTGAATATTTGGATTTTTAAAACAAAATGTTACTTTTATTTCTGCTTTCTATAGGTGTTGCCAGTTTGGAAGAGGGGCTCCCAGTTTCCTAGTGTGGAAAGGCTGGATGTGTTGAGCTCAGATCTTCAGCATTTGTGAGTTTTCTTCATAATTTCTTTTTCTTGATATATGTATACAGCTATTTTTGAAATAGTCATGTGGATCACAGGACCTTACTCCAAAATACACTCTTTTTGCCAGAGTAATGCATTTATTCGGCTACCAGAAGTACTGACTTTATAAAGAGAACAAATAACATTAAAACATTTCATGAAAATAGAATTTAATTGGCAACCATTTTGTGATTACAATCAAAGAAGCTTTGACATAATAGAGAAAGGAAGAAAATGATTGGTGAATTGAATAGATTTCCCTCAAAAGTGGAAGATTTAGAAAAAAACAAATTTGATTTCCCTCAAAAGTATATAACATAAGCACAAACTTAGTGAAGTCCAAGTTACACATTTTGTTTAAATTGGAAATCAAAACACCACACTGGATGACAAATATGGGCCATAAACTATTAACCATGGGTAGCTATATAAAATAGCAGGAGAGTGATAAATAAACAATCTTCCGATCTTTTAGACATTGTAAATCTTGATGCTAATTTAATTTTGCAAATTTGTTTCTGCAGATATGTGCAACCAAACAGATAGTTTTGTTTGTAAAACATTTTTCTTGGCTTATGATTTCCAGACACACATACCTCCAGAGCAAGCAGAATGTACCAGGGGCAGGTACAAGTCTGACTACAGGCCTACAGAGAATTGGATCAGAAATATCAGGATTATTTAGGTAAGTCTAAAAAGCCAAACAGTATGTGGGTATTTGTGTGCTCAGATTTTGAATGCATATTCACTTTAAACAATTGCTTTATTTTAATTGTAAACAAAATAATACTATGTTGAAATGTTTTAGGAGTTTAAAAATATTATCTTGTAAATATTTATTGCATTCATAGAATCATTGCTGTAGTAGTGCTGTAGCTAGATAAGCTGGGCAACAGGTCCCAGGAGTGCACATTGAAAGAATATATTCAGTATGCCAGTTGACACAGAAAGGGTCTCTTTTTTTGTTGTTAGTCATTTGTAATGACTGGATTTATTTATTTTTACAGGTGTATTTTACTTTTGAAATCTACCATTTTCTTTTTGTGCGTGTAAGTGTGTGTGTGTGCATGCGTGCATACATGAGTGTGGGTGTCACCCTCCCTCTTTTCCTGCTTTCCCTCCCCCTCCCCCCCCCCCCCCCCCCCCCAGCATGATTTTTCTGTTAATTTGCAATTTTTAAAATAATTGATGCTCCCAAGAAATGTGATGTGTACTTACTCACAACTAGTTGCCAGTTTTATTGCTTTTTTTCATGTTAGTTTCCTGAAGCACCTTGAGAAAAGCTGTGGAATGCAAAGTCCAGTAACTTGTGAAATCTTCCATTCTTTGACTGAAGCACCAGTTACCCGGGAGGATCATGGTGATGAAACAGTACGCACAATTTTGGATCGTTATTTGTTTTTTGTTTTAATTGTAAATCATTATCCTTGTGGGGTTATTACTAATATTACACTACTACTACAATACTGAAGGAGTTTGTTCTTTTAAAATAAATAGCATTGTTTCATTTTGAAATCTGAGAAAACAAATTATTGGGCTAGTAAATAAAGGACCTTTGTGATGGCAACAGTGGTCCTGAAATCCCAAGCTCTAATTGTGGAAGACGGTTCTTCACTCTTTCAGTCCCAAGTTACGTATAGTGTGTGAATGGCTCTTTTGTCTTGTGTCTTATCCAACACTCAGTGTGTTATCTCACCTTGTAGATCTGGTAATACGTTACTGAAGAAATTTGACTTCTCCATTGTTTGCCCTTTAAAAAAAAAAAGTTATGCAGTGAAAATCTGTTTTACTCATTGTTCCCTAGCTAAGGAAATCTGATGGGACTGAAATAGTTCATGCAGGCAGGTCTTGCTAGTCCCCCTGGCCTCCCTATATGGCACAATATAAAATAATTGCCTGAAAAGATGGAAAGATGACATCTGACAGAGAACCCTTTTTCTACCACTGGCACATAGGGCATTTTGTTGTAGACCCATTTCTGTATAGATCAGTCAGTATTCAATGAATATTGTAGTCATAAACATGATGAATATCTTTACTTCCTAAGACATTTCCTGGTACCCATTTTGAACTTGTTTGAATAGGAAACTCTAAATCAGATGTAAAAATCTGCTTCTGTGTGGATTCAAACCAAAGACATCTGGGCCACAGCAAGTGTTTAACACTTCTCTACCACAGGTGTACATTACTGGGTAGGATTAATTATTGGTTTCTCCCTCTCTTTTACCTCCCTTTCCTCCCCCTCTTTTGCCTCATGACGGCACCTGATTGATTGATGAACAAGACATTATGGTGACACCATGTTGTTCTTCAAATTAACCTGCTTTCAAGACTTGAGTAACTTCATTGGTTAACTTTTTCAGTTCCAGCCTGTAATAATTTTAACTGTTCTATAACTAGAAGTTTCTAACTTAAAGCTGGCCAATGTTTGAGTCTGAAAGAAGTTTAAAATAATGAACACTGTGGGATAGAAGAGGCTCACTAATAATCTGCATAGAATGAGTTGCTTTGGAAAGGATTATTCAACTGGTGGCCCACAAACCAAATCTGGCCCGGGGAGGCCTAGCAAGTGGCCCACGAATAATTGGCAGTTGTATTTTATTAGTGATCTTTTTATGCTAGAACTTAGGCTTCTGGGCCGTGACTAAACTTAGTTGAATAACCCTGCTGTAGCAACTGCCTGCAGTTGAAAAGTGTCAGAAAAGTCTTTGAACTCATGAACATATAGAGAGTTTCACGCTGCAGTAATAGTTAATCGACAGGTTTTTAAGAATGAAAACCTTAAATGTGATAGAATCATAATGTCCGTTGCCATTGATTCACAATCTGTCAGTATTGTGTTTAAGGATATTAAAGTATTAAGCACATGAGATTATCATGCAAAGAGAAATTGGCAACGTCATAATAATAGTTTAAAGATAGCCACCCCACTTTTGACATGCAGTTGCAATCAACTCAGGGGTCACTACTCTGTGTGCCTGATTTGGTTGTGAACAATTTGTTACTGAATTCATGCCATTTTGAAACTTTCTATTTCACTCCTGCACTTGCTGGTCTGGCAGGCATGCATCACCATTCTGGACCTTTCGTTCACAGATGAATTCTATAGATTTTACTCCTTCATTGATCAAGAAGTGGATAACAAAATGCTGCTTTCTTTTGGTGCATGTCTAAAGTGGGGCGGTCATCTTCAAACTGTCATTATGATATCATCATGTTTGACTGCACTAGGATGTAACATGTTTAACACTTTTGACATTCTTAACAACGATATTGCCAAGAAACAAGACCTGTGCATGGTTATTTTAGTTTCTATCACACTTTTTTTATGTATGCATTTTGAGCGCCTCATACATATATAAAAAGAAAATACTTACATTGTATTGAATCCATTATGTATGTGTAAAAAACCCTTGCTGACCATCTAAATGCTTCTCTAGATTAAATTTTGTCTTGTAATCAACAGATTATTATTACCATTGTTGCTGGCTTGCCAGGAAGTGGGAAGGAGACTTTGGCATCGTTACTGACTTCACTGAATACAGACTTCACAAAGTAGGTTGTTGCTGTGTTTTAAGAGGGGAGGGTGGTGGGGTGGGAAGGAGGGGGGGGGGTGTGGTGGTGTACCAGGACCAGGGCTGACACCGGTCATTGTCTGTCTACACCTCCCTGCTGTCATTCTAGAAATGGGTTCCCACACGGAGGCCTGGCCAGCATAGAAAGAGTCAGCATTTCCCCCCAAGTCAGGGTGCATCTGCCTGAAAAGCCAGGAACCATACAAATTAGCGAGATCTGTAAAAAAGAATGTTCACACAAAATTATGGTCCTTGAATAAGACCAAAGTCAAGAAATGGGTGAACAGCCAGAACTTTCTGCTGGAGTTTACTACAACTAGTGAACGTTAAGAAGAATATCTTTGAGTTTTTGAGTGAAGATGTTTAAGAGATCTGGGAGGAGGGGTGGGGTGTGGGGGGGGGGGGGGGGGGGGCATTGCTGGAGTCATGGAGGTGTATGCTTTGTGCAGTGTTTGCAACAGGTTACAATCATTCTGCAGAGAGAGAGAGAGAGAAACTGAACCATGTTGGATAAAATCTGGAGCAATTAAGTTGACCCTTTGCTTTTAAATACCTTTTATTTTTAGCAGTAAAACAATAATTGAGTTATATCATTATCTGAACTGCCTTGTTTAGAATAAAATGGCAATGACATGGGCTAGATATTTTCTTTTCTTTGTCAGCTGTAAAATTGTAACTTAGGATACAAGTAATAATACAAGTGATCATTTTTCTTTAGAAATTAAAATATTTTCAAAGACTTTATGTGAGTGGATCTTGCAAGTCACACTTACCATCGCCATGGAACAATTCCAATGCCCTAGCAAAGCTTAGTATAACAATTTTGTCCAAAAATATAGAAAGGTGCCAACTGATCTCTAATTTCAAATTCATGAAGTTATATTTTTTTTTTCAACTTTATCAAAACTGATTTAAAAAAAAAAAGTAGCCAAGTTTGATCCTTTCAGACACCTTTTGTTAATCTGCTTAAGAGTAAGACTTATCAGTATACATTTATTTTGAATGTTATCACTTCTTTTAACAAGTTTTTAGATTAAACATAGAATCTTTAGTTTGTACTTAATGACCATACAAGAAAGTGTGTACATCTCTGGTAAAGAAATGTCACCTATAAACTTTTCTGAAAAAATTAATAATGTTCCCCCATTTGTTCATTCATTGGCACTTTTCCATCTCTCCATATGATAATGTCCTATTATGCTATAGGGAGGAATGATAAATGCAGCCTATGGAGGTACTAATTAGGGCCAAGGATGAAATTCCTCCTGTCCATAGCACAAAGCCTTGGCAGTATTGTATAGACCATGTGTTTTCCCTTGCGACGTGATCCTCTCTCTGCCTGCTTTGTTAACTCCATAGGGAAAATAACACCAAAACATTTGGAAGAAAGCATGCTGTAGATACACTGTAGGATTAAAAAAGTGATGTTCTTTCTGTCAACCTTCTAGAGCTTTCCTCCTAGCCCAGCTGCCAACCAAAGCCATGACCATTTATTTTTCAAAATAAGACATAATTAATGTTTTGGCCAAAGAGATGTTTCACAACTGTTATTTTCTCCTGTTGCAGCTGGCTAGTATATGAACAACTAGAGCAATGTCAGGTAGTCACAGCCTCCCTCCATCAGACAATGTTTGCTGCTGCCCAGTCACAAAAACAATGGCTGCTCACTAAATCCACACGGCTGGTTATTGTAGCTCCTGGGTATGTCATTTTTCCGTTTGGCATGTGCTATGCTGTGTTTAATAATAAACAGAGTTTGACATTTTCAAAACATATAAACAATCTGCAGAAAGTTTGAAGAAGATCTATGTACACAATATTTCATAATCAGAAATGACTTTTAAGGCTCTGGGTAGCAAGGAATACACCATGTGCTGATGTATAACTAATTTAACTGTCCTCTGCTATCATTAAAGTTGATGTTTGTGCCCTGTATTTTTATAAACATATTTTTACATTTCTTCTTCTTCTGCGTTCGATATCAGTCATGCTAAACATTGAGTCCCGTCTGGGTCAGAAATAGGATTGTGCGTTTAAGGTCGCCACCAGTCTCCCATAGCTTCTCTTGCAATGTGGCTCCCTTGGGCCAGATCCACAGTCTTTGCTGGGAGAGGTTAGGGCAGTACTGCAGTATGTGCTCAGGGGTCTGTCTTTCTGCTCCACAATCACAGGCAGCAGATTCTTTTATGCCTATCCTGTACAAGTGTGCTCGAAGACCACAGTGTCCAGTCCGAAGTCTAAAAATTGATGTTTGTTCTTTCCTGTTGAGTTTGTTTATGCTGTCACTCTCTGGTCTGTAATCTCCATTCTGCCTTCTCCACTCCCGCTTGAAAGACTGCTTTAGCGCTGTTTTGGTTTCCTTGTAGCTGTGTGGTGGATGAGGTTGTGGAAGATTACTCCCAGCTTTTGCCAACTCATCTGCTCTCTCATTTCCTTGAATACCACAGTGGGCTGGTATCCACTGCAAGACCAGTTCTGCTTCCTTGGAGAGTAGACCAATGTTGGTCCTTAGATCAGCGATTAGTTTGTCTTGTTTTTTGCTGGATAGTTCTCGGAGAACAGACAATGAGTCGCTAAGCATAACAATTTGGTGCCCTCTGTGTTCTTGAGTGATGAATATTTTTACATGCTATATTATAATTAGCTTATTAAAATATTTTTGAAAACAGAGCCTTACAATGAATCTTTAGACCCATCAAAGATGCAGACAGCGGGACTGGAGAATAAGAAGCAACAGTAAAATTCATAATCTCTTTAAATCACCACTGATCACTGGTATCATGCGAGCTAATAGACTGAAATGGCTAGGGCATTTTGATAGAATGTCAGGTGGCAGAGAGGTAACAACTGCATACCAGAGGGAGCTGAATGGTCATAGACCACGAGGCTGACCCAGATGATGATGGAGAGATAATTTTCAGACAGGCCTACAAACACTTGGTGTTACCAGTTGGAAAGAGAAGGCCAACCAGAGAAACGAATGGAGGCAGGTGATATCTGCAGCAAAGTATCTGTAGGGTTCGAAAGGCTGAAGAAGAAGGAGAAAATATTAAAATTATTACATAATTTATTTCCAATGTTTTTTTAATTGAAACTAATAGTTTATGCTAAACTGGCTAGGATTTTTAAGATCTAATCCATAGTGTACTGTTTAAACATAATGTGCAGACTTTCTGTACACCCACACAAAGACTGAAGCATCATTTATTGTTCATATCAACTGAGATATTTTCTGACATACATATATGCCTATTTTTGCTGGGTACCACTCATAAAAGTCACCCAATTTTGTCAGCTGCACGATTTTATATATTTTCTAGGACACTTCTATAGTCTGCAGGTTTCATGTACGTGTTCCTTGTTTTGACCGTTTCAAGCACATTCTCCACCAACAACAGCCACTGCCAATGAGCGTAAAAATACAAAAACATCAATGATTTGATACTCACAAAGCATCACGCCTTTGGTGCTCCTCGCTGCAGTACTTCTTCATTGTACACAGTCATCTTTGGTGCCTGAGATATAATCATAACAACAACACATGCAAGAAATGATAGTCATTCATAGAGAGTTGCAAAAAGAAAGCTGTGCAGCTTTGTCTGAGCGATGGTATATTAGCCACATCCAACGAACGCGAGTCAGTTTTCACCACAATGTGTATAGATGGAGAAAGAAGCCATCTCATAACACCCCTATAATAGAAGACAGCCCATGGGAATGGCCATGAAATCTTGCGCCCGAATGAGATGGGGTGACTTTCATGAGTTTTACCTTTTATTGAAAATAATTTTTTAATCTGTACTTCTTACACTGAGGCATAATGGCGTTCTCTTACCTGGTACATGAATGTACACATAATATGCATTTCCTTGTTTATATTTATGACAATTGCAGTCTGTGTGACACTGCTGATGTGGTCAGAGCTATCAGCCATCACCCGAATCACAAGCTGAGGTCCCAGTTTGTTGTTGGATCTGTGACTGTGTGCATTGATCCAGAGAACACATTTATGGAACACAAGTAAGGGACATTGTGCAATTTATATTTATGTGTGTGTATATGTTTGTGTGTGTGCACATTATGCTTGCTAAAAAAACACACACACACACACACAATTTCAATATTGCTTCAATCCTTATCAATTTTTGTATCATTTAAAATCAGTAATTTTACTCAAGTATATATCAGATACCTGATCATTACCAGAAATCGTTAGCATATCACAATATGGCAGCTATATTTTATCATCAAGGCAATGCTTCCATTCATAGATTAGTTCTGAGCATTTAAATAATTATTCTTTGATATTAGCAATTTACTTTTCTTTGTTTTGCCACACATGATAAAGTGAAAGTGAAAATATGTTGTGTTTTTTGTGTCATTACAAGAATAGTTTTATGCAGACACTCACATAAATAAAAGGCATAAACATCTACTGCAAACTTAGATATGAAGCTGTTATTATATGATTTTAGCATTTAAACAAATTATAATGCATAAAGCTGTTTTAAGGTTTCACAAATACTAAGTCTAGTTAATGATACCGGGTGATAAGTTTCTATACTTTGTACATTTTGTTCCATATATATTCCTGGTATTTTTTAATAGCCTGAGTCCATCTGGCATCTGAACTTGTTGGGGAAAGGTAATAGCCACAATTCAGAACTTCTTCTTCTTCTTCACGTTCACCAGCTGTACACTCTGGCGGAAAGTTCTGGTTGTTCGTCCACTACTGAACTGCAGTCCTGCTCCAGAACCTGAGTGTTGCGTGTGCATCAGTTTTACAGATCTCATTCTCTTGAATACAGACTGTTGGTTCCTTGCCTCTCCGGCAGATGCACTCCGACTTCAAAGGAAGCTCCCCAATTAGTCGACTCTTACGACATGCTTTTGGGTAGGCAGTGGGTCTATTCTTGTTTTCCCCTACAATGGGGCCCCGGAACCCACACGGGGGAATTCAGAACTAAACCAGTATATTATAAAGCCAGGGAATTAAGCTCTACTCTACACTGGTTTTAGCATATTTTCATGGAAAGCTTACTAAATTTTCTGGGTTCTCATTTAAACCTTGATAAACAAACATATATAAAGGAAGCTGGTTATATACCTTGTATGCCCAAATTTAGTTACATTTTTGCACCCTTTACACAGGATGACTTTTCCAGTGCTGGCAGGCAACTGTGCCCAAGGCTGGGTTAACAATATTTTGTTCACTTCAAAGACTGATGCATCGGTAAACCCATTGTTTCTCTGTGCAGTTCTAGTTTTTGGATATACTTAGTACTTTGTTTTACTTAGTAGTTTATGATATTTTATCCACAATATGTTTACAAGTAAGGGAGAGTAAATGAGAAAGGCCAATACAATAACTTCAAAGGGATCTTTTCCGCACTTTGAAGTGTTCTTGGGTATATGGTCCTAATAATATATTTGTAAAGACTAATCAGCACTTGATAGGGAATATGGTTAGTCTGGGAAGTTGCTTTTACTTCATCAAAAATTTCCATGTACTTATTTTAGTCTGAGTCATCCTAGGGAAGCCTAGAAAATTTAAGAAGAAAATCATTGTCTTGAGTATATTTGAACACGTGACCACTGAGTGAATGAGTGGACCAACTAGCAAGCAATGCACCATCACATTTGGGATGAAGCATAGACAAAGCTGGTATCATCAGTGCTGTATTGACTAGGTTAGTGGATAATGAAGATTCTTTTACACTAACATGGCTGGGCCTCAAAACTCTTGCAAATTTCTTAATTTGCATTCCAAAGTTTAGTGTCATACATCAGAATATTTTGATAGAATATATGAGTACCCTGTTTGGGATATTCAGTCTTCTTCTTCTTCTTCTTCTTTTTCTTCGCATTCACCATCTGTAAATTGTGGCAGAAAGTTCTAGTTGTTCATCCACCTCTGGACTTTAGTCTTGTTCGTATGCGAGTGTTGTATGGACATCTGTTTCACAGATCTGGCTTATTTGAATGCATACTGGTAGTTCCTTGCCTCTCTGGCAGATGCACTGTGACTTTAAAGCAAACAGTTAATTAGTCAACTTTTACGACATGCTTATTAGAAAGGCAGTGAAACTATTTTTGATCTCCCCCACGCTGGAACTCACACAGGGAGACATTCAGTGAACATGTGATAGTTATATGTATGCTAAACATAAAGACATGTTCTCTTTTTTCTCCCACTGTAGAGTGATTTGCTGGAAACTATTCAAGCTTTAATCCGGAGCATTAATCCTGAGGTGGATTTTTTGAAGATGTCAAATGACACAGTGACTAGGTAGCTAATTTTATATTTTACATATAGTAAACAAACAGACAAAGTATCGATCGGCACTCATAGAAAGAGTTTGAAAGATAGATGGACACACTAGATAACATAAAAATGGAAAGCTATAGTTACCGTGCTGAGAACTGTATCTGTCACCTCCAAATGGCATGTGCGCCTGGCTATTAAACAAATTTACTAAAATACATGACCAACTAGGCACCCTAAAAAGGTTAATAATTGATATAATTTTGATATTCACTACTCTCTTTAATTTGTATTTGTTAACTGATATAGGAGTTGCTGTATAAAGTCTATACTTTTGTAAATATGGGCAATGTGAACAAGAAACAGGCAGACCACAAAATTGATGTAGTTACAGCACATATATGTTTTTTTTAGCAATATTCAAAGGATAACATGGTGGATAGAAAACTGAATATGGCAGTCCATAGCAAATGACATAAAAACATTAATTTGAGAAGTTAATGAAGATCTTTTTTTAGTATAAAGAGGAGAAACTTGAAAATGTATTTACAACTGGCTTGATTGGAAAAAAAAAAGAGGGGGGGGGGGAGGGGAGGTGGCAGGGAGCTTGATGAAAGTGACAACAACAACAACAACAATAACAGCAACAACAACAACAAAACTATAAAAAAATAAAAACAGAGACTTTGGTGGTCACATAATCACCCATGCTTTTCCTTACTTTCAGTTTGTTACATTGTCTTGATTGTTGTTATTGTAGGGAAAGTGACATTGAGCTGATTATGTCTGAGACGGCTTTTAATGAGCCAGAGCTGGAGACAGTCAGGGTGTTACTGAAGCCACACTGGTAAGTGGAACAGTTGAATCTGCTTATCAATACATTGTTTTCAATTACTTTTTAGCAAGTAAGTGCTACACATTTATTAGTCTTCCTTTTTTTCCTCCCAGCATAATTTCATCTATGGATCACCATAGTTCCATAAAGTCAAGGTCTATTTCTGGTTACCCTCAGCAATACTTATAGTGTTGCAGTGTCACATCCTGCACATTCTTCAATGTCATCAGTTCGTTCAGGATGTCTTTTGAGACATTTGTCTGTATGTTTGTCAGTTGCCTTCAATGTATCCTGGAGAATAGTTCCTGCTAGGTATAGGGCTGTAGTCCTGCTAGGTATAGGGCTGTAGTCCTGCTAGGTATAGGGCTGTAGTCCTGCTAGGTATAGGGCTGTAGTCTGTTGACAGTGGAATAACTAAAACAGCCAGTTTGTATGTTCTGCACTAAATCATGATCTGGCTACATCCTGATACGACTCAATTTGCAAATGGGAAGTTTCAATACTGGTAAGACAATACTGGTAAGACAATACTGGTAAGACAATACTGGTAAGACAATACTGGTAAGACAATACTGGTAAGGCAATACTGGTAAGACAATACTGGTCTTACACACCTACTGGCATCTGGGCAAAGAGATGAATGAGAATAAAAAGTAAAATAAAGAACTCTTTATCAGCAAATAGCACAGCAGGCATATGATGCCATACATACTCATGTTTTTATAGACCAATTGGTAATCTGGTAATCCTAGTTTCAGCTTCATAGCAAATGGGTCACCCCATAGTTGCTCCGCTCCTGTGCCAAGAAAACCACACGTAGCTCACAGTGTCACGCCATGCACTCAACTCAGAAGCTGGGCGACAAAACTATATCCTTCCAGTCTACGAATGAAGCAAAAATGCAAGGGCCACCGTCTGGCAGAGAAAAAAAAAGGTGGCCGTGCCTAGCGTCCATTTTGACCTGAAGCATTATATGAGGGTTAATAAACGGTCACCCCAGCAGTACCCTCATTATTAGCTGGGGAAGGGACTTAGGACATTACATCCACCAGCAGGCGTCTCCCCTACAACGACCTGCCTGCCTTCGTTAACGACTGTTCACCCAACAGCCGTGCAGTTCTTTGGCACGAAGGAGACACCTTGAACTTGGGTTTCGGACTGCTGACTCCCTACAAGATGTTATTTTATGTTTTGTTATCACACGTGATGTCACTGCACATTGGGCATACCCATGCGTGATCAGTTCTCTGAAGCAGCAGCCACTCCAAAGTACTTCTACTAATTGTCCCCATGAGAAGCTGGTTATATTGTCTCCTTTCTCGGCCCCGAAGACGGCAAAGATGTGCATCACCATGCTTAACTCCCATGTCACGCAATCGTGTTAGTGTCAGGGATTCCTCATTCTCCACTAGCCCAGTTCGTAGAGCGTTGACGATTGGTACTCACTGGGTCATATGGTCAACATCAGGCCAGCCATCTTTACTTTCCAGGAAATTATCTGGTACTCATTAAGGATGGCCAAGCGAGTTGTGCAAAATAGTTCCTGTGGAGACAGTATTTTGTCAGCAGTCGGACCTGGATGTCCATGCCTTGGGTGTAAAAAGTTTGAACTCATAATTTTTCCAAAGATTCACCAAGCAGCTAAGCAACAATCAGATGTTGAAAGTTGAATTAAGAATCGAATCGCAGCTTTCGGGACACTCCCATGAGCACTCCGTCCCCATCTTCAACAGCAAGCAAAGAGTTCCAATTCCAATCGCATCAGTTACCAACATATGTAGAAACATGCAGAGTTACAAAACCACAACTAACAAGAGTGATTCCTTATAGCTGCATGTGTTTTCCTTTGGTATCGAATAAAAAATACCATTTTTGCTCATTATATCCACAAAAGAAATATGCAGACTTCTTCTGTGATGCCATAATTTTACCACCTGAATCCTTCATTATTAATTAGTTATTCTCTACAAGACTTCTACTTCTTCTGCATTCATCTTTAAAAGTGTGTTGGCACATTATGCTGGGGTTGACAGTTAGGCCACAATATCTGCACCTTTCTGCCTGAGACGTTTGGTGTCGGCAACTTCATATTAAGGGCCTTTTAGGGGACAGTGGGTATGTTCTCTCCACCCCCCCCCCCCACCGCCCCTTCACCCCACCCCACTAACTGGAGCCATGGAACCCACAACTGGACTTTATAGGACACAAATTTAGTTACCTCTGGTAGTGCTTGAATAAGAAGTAAACAGGGAGCAAATTTCCAAGCCTTTTCTTATAAATTAGGAGGTTACCAGTTTAAATTATGGTCATTTTGATTTGTATCTTTATAAGCTTGTGTTTTATCAATATAATAATTTCTGCTAAAAGTTTCCCTGTCCTTTTCTGACTGCTGTAACCCAGCATGTTTTTAATCTTCCAAATTTGTGTTTTGCTGAGGTTATTGGTATAGAAATATTTAGGGAAATTACACTGAGTCTGATGGCGGTCATTGATTAACACATAAGTTGTTTTATATAAAATGTTAATTGTTACTAAGATGTAATTAGTAAACAAAATAAATATTAAACCGAAGAATGGTCATATGAGATAAAGTCAGCACAGAACCCTAAATTCTAAATTACGTAAAGGCAGCAAATCAAATGGTTTTCCCACTTGGAGAGAATGCCTTCTGATGCTATACCACACAAGGCATATACCAAAAGAGGAGAGGGAGGTAGAGCAAGAGACAGACCAAGAACAAGATGGGAAGATAACATAAGTGAAACTCTGCAGCACCACGATGTGTCTATGGCCAAAGCAGCCAGAAGAGCACAAAGCAGGACCTTGCATCTCCTTCGACACCTGAAGTGATGTAAAATAGGAAGTAGAGAAGAGGAAAGAAATGGAAGAAACATTGACACCTTTCAGATATTTTCTTATAATATAACCCACTTTAGGTATTAAAAAGCAAAACAAAAAAACACAGAATTATCATGAGGCAGATTTCCAGAACATAAGCAATATATTTGTATTTAGTTTTCCTGAGGGTAAAGAGGCCTAGAGATTTACTTTTTTTTTCAGGCATTTCATATTCATTGTCATAAGTTATATTTTTATACTGAAGACTAGTGGAATATTTTCTTATCTATAAATTATTTTCTATAATTATTATCTATAATATTCTTTTCTTATAAATCTTACTTTATTTCTACCAAAATATAATTAATGTGGCACTTTCTCCTTGACTCCCATCAGATTATGTTGTAATGAGTGTATTTAATTACAGGCATGAAGGTTATCCACATGCTTGGCCCTGTAATCCTCCAATGAATGATGTAGTGCTTCGCTTTACTCACCCCTTAGAAAAGCACTTGACCATCAAGATGCTGCGAGGTAAGTGGACTTGATATATGATATATGTGACTGGACATTGATTAAATCTCAGTGAGATTAAATGTGATGGATATGTACAAATGATACAAAACAAATTAAAAATTATAAAAATTTGCAAGTTCAGCTTTTTAACATTTTACCTCTCATTTGACCTTATTGCAGTGTAGTCAAATTACTATCAAATATAACTTTTCCACTGACAGAACACTTAACATTGATAAAATTAGCTTCAATTATTAAGTTAATGCTCTCTGTCCACAGATCATTGCCATTTCATTCTTGTTTATTCCCTCAGTTTATAGTTTAATTTGTTTTGGCCCATGGATAGGTAAACTGAAAGAGATATGTAATGTCAGATTAGAAGAGTTAATACTATGTGTAGTTTGGTGCTGAACATGTTATTGTTTTATGAAATACTTCATCTGTTCCTCTAACTTATGTTTAACTATGTATTTTTACTAGTATATTCAATATGTTTTGCATGTGTGCACGTGCCCGTATGCGTTTTTGTACATGCATCTGGGTGGGGAAATGGGGGGGGGGGGGGGGGGGGGGGGGGAAGAATGGGGAAAAAACATCTTAACCATAATGTGTAGCAAGTCACCAAGTCTGTTTTGTCCAAATGTCATAAAAAAGGTCCCTTTTCCACACCTTTAGGTGTAATGGGAATATAGAGCTAGAACTATATTTTTATAGACCAATCGGCACTTGGTGGGTGATGTGGTCAGCATATCGCTGGCCACCTTTACTTCCCAGGACTGCACCTGGTCCCCACTCAAGGCTGGGTCAATCTGGGAGTAAATCCAAATATGCTAATGATCTTAAAATGACAAGATTTGGTGTACGCATATTTTTAATAATAATTACAGGAATCAAGAGTTCCTTAAAGCATCACCCATTTGATGGAAACATTTACTTTGTTGGTGGAAATCTAATATTCATTGGTACGTATGATGCCGTACTGTTCTTCATCTGACATCAGCTGCAATATACATTTTTGGCTTAGCATTCATTTAATTGTTTGTCTTTATGAAAATGCTGTTTAAAGTGTATTACAAGTTATCTGCTCATGTGTTATTGAGTCAAGGAAATATCAAGTAGCAGGAGGAGGAGGCGGAGGAAGAATTAATCAGTTGTATTTAATTTTGAAACGCAGTACTGATATAGTATGAAGATTTGCAAAATCATATTATTACCACAAGGGGATTGGACAATGGACGCTAGGCAGGGGCACTGTTTGAAGCCGAGGCAAATTGTTTGCTTCTGCCGGATGGTGGCCGATGCATTTTTGCTCCATTTGTAGACTGGATATAGTTTCATCGCCCAGCTTCTCAGTTGAAGGCATGGCGTGACACTGTGAGCTGCGGACTTCATTTGGAATGTTTTTTCGACTGTGACCAACGTGGTGGTGTGAATTGTAGATTCATAAAATGGTGCGATGCCTGTCTTGCAATGTTGGTGGTGCCAGTATGTGATTAAAATTGATCGTGTGGTAAACTGCTGATCTGTTGGTAACTTCTGCTACCATCAATGATGAACTGCATTTCTAATGTCGGACTGTTTGTGTTAGCACTTCGGATGGCTACCGTATACTTTAATGTGAATGCATGCTAGATATGCTGAGACAGCAGTCTGTCAATCCTTCCACAAGGGACTGTGATAAACATTCTGTGTGTTTTTCGTTGGCACAGGAACGGAGCAAAGATTGGGGTGACCCGTTTGCTATGGAGCTGAAACTAAGACCACCAGACCAGACCAGATTTGTAATTTAATGACACTAGTGGATGCAGAGAACATTGTGATTGGGAATACTGGAGCATTCAGTTGGCAGATACAAAAATGAAAGCAATGTGCTGGCAGTTTATCCATGAGAATATCCACAGCTGGATTAGACTATACTTTTTTTTTTAAGCTAGACACAGATGCAATACTTGTGTGCCCCTGTACCTCCTAGAGCCAGATGTGGTATATGTCAGTGCTCATCTGTCCTTTAGAGGCAGGTGTCATTAATCTGTGTCCTTCTCCTCTCTTCAGACAGACCTGTCCCTCTGCCCCCAGTGAGCAATATGTTGTACTTTATGTTCCTTTCCCTGCTAGAATATGATGTAGTCAATTTTTCTATTTCTGCAAGAGATAGATGTGATATCCCTATGGCCTTACTTCTCGAGACAGATGCTTACTATCTCCTTCCCTCCCTTCAAATCTAGTAATGCAACAATAAAACAGTTTGATAAGACTCACTGAGTAACAGTATATTCATCTTAGAATTTCAGGCTATACTTTGAAATAAAACTAACTGGTTCATATTCGTTTTTTTTAAGGCTCGCCAAAGTATGTAGACATACAGTTCACTACTGTGAGTGGACAACTCATCATGAATAATGTCACCTCAAATCCACCATCAGAAGGCATACACTGTGTCATCTGTTTTACTGGAATTGGCTTGCAGGAACTTGAGCTAAAGCAGTTGCTTAGCTCTTGCATCAAGCAGGTGGGAGTTTTTGCATGTCATTGTGCTGCACCCTTGCTATATTATTTATTGTTGTTTCTGGCATCTGACATCAGTAATCCATTATTAACAAACCAAAAGATCTCAGTTTACTGAAGTTCAAGTTTTAATATAATGTTAAAGTTTACATTTTCATATAACATGTTAACTCTTTGAGGCCCAAGCAACAGTGTGAGCATTGTTTGAGAAGTTCTGTTTTGCCCAAACAACACTGCCATTGTCGATCGTGTGTCCCGTACATTTTGCTTCGCACACGGCTGTGTACTTGTTGCGAATGTTCGGAAGTACGATTAAACTATTCAGGGAAAGTCACTCTGCCGAAATCCTTTCAGAATCTTTTCCTATCTGAAATCACATGTGCTTTATTTGACAGGATTTGCAGCAACAATTTTTTCAACAGTTCATTTTTTAAAATTTGTTTTTGAATGCCATGAATACCAATGTTTCAACCACAAGTACAGGTCGCAGAATGCTTTTTTCTGTGGCCCAGTCTCTGAAATTGGTTAAATTTTAACTCTTTCAGGCCCATGAATTTTGACAGACTTGGCCCCTTAATTTCCCTTTTTTTTTAATTTCAGAGGGGGTGGTGTACAAGAAAGGCAATAGAGAATGTAATATACTTCTAATCCCTATAAATGTATATATTTTTTTAAAGAGAAATGAATTTACATTTTGAATATGATGATAAGTATATGTTTTATTTTGTTAAAGTTAGTAGAACAGACGAATTCAGCTGGTGTTAATTTAGCAACAACAACATTTTACATGCAAATTCTTCACTTACTATGTTTTTGTAGCCACAAGAGTAGTAATTATCCAAATTTGAGAACAAAACTTCAAAGTTTATTCAATTTCCTAACAAATTCCAAAGTTATGATAAGTTTCTGGGTTAGTTTAGCACTCAGAGGCTGCTGAGCAAAATTTCAGAGAAACAATTGCAGAAAAATGGGCCATTGCACACACACTATTTACTATTTACTTTGTACAGATATATACAGACTGTAGCTGCAATGATTTTAATGTAGCTTAGCCATAGTATAGTACTGTCTCTTCGTTTAGAGCGCTTTCTTTCTCTTACACCATAAATACGGTAGCAATGGGACACTGTCTGTGTAAACTCATCAGAATCGCTAGATTCCCAACAGCTGATCGCTTAGCTTCGCTGGTGAAAATTCACCGTCCAAATCACTTTACGAAAAACCTAAATTTTCATTATCATTATCAAAATTAAAAACATCTGACTGAAACAATTTCTAAACTTTGGCAGCAGAAAGAACCATTCTGCGACCTGTACTTGTGGTATTCGTAAACGAACCTAGAAAATGCACTGTTGAAAAAAAAATGTAGCTATGAATCCGATCAATCTATGCATGTGTGGCTTGGGATACAGAATGTTGTTAAAGGAAATCATTAGATTGGCTTTCCCTGAGTACTTTAATCATAGATCTTAACATTAGAAACAAGTATGAAGCCATGTGCAAAGCAATATGTACAGGACACACAATTAATGATGACAGCCTTGTTTGGGCAAAACGGAACTTCTCAATCAACGCTCACACCATTGCTCTGGCCTTAGAGAGTTAAAAATGATGACCTGGACCAAATAAAACTAATATGTTACTACCTTTAGTGAACACATGGAAATACAGATATTGACCCAAGGGCTGGTCTCCTATTCAAGTGAAAAGGGAACTATTCAGCAGTGAATAATTTCCACATTTAAATAGAATCTGTCATTGCTAGTGTACCTAACCTGTCCCCATCTCAGTCAAGACAGAGCTCTATGATACATGGGAAGATTTGGAGTGTGTAGCAGCCATCATCAAGGCTACTGGCCTCCTGATATCAGTTTTCTGAGAGAAGGATTAAGGAAGATGAAAAATAATTGTTAATCCAGTCCACAGATTATCTCAACTCTCTGTGTCCTATCTGCTGGTATATTATCCTAGTTAATCTCATGCCTGTTGCCTTTCCTCAGTGTTCCCTAATGCTTTCTCTCCTAGATAGTTGATACTTTATTTCATTGAATACCTCATAATTACTTTGAAGTAACAATTCTGGGACAAGAATGAGTGAAATATTAGATAAGTAAAAGCAATAGATTTATTATTGAACATGAATATTTGTACGAATTGTATTTGCTTATTTCAGAGACCTAATAAAAAGTCATTCTTGACAAAACAGGACTTAACAAATGAAGAAGTTGACCAAATTCATGTAAGTTATTTTGATGTTCTTGAAACAAATTCTAATGAGAAAGAAATTAAAATGTTTAAAAAACAAATGAAAGTTAATATGATGGTAGATGATAGTTTAAAATAATGCAATACCCTTTACCCATAAGAGTAGAATGTAGTTTTTTTTTATAGATAGGATTTACTAATGATCTTTAGCTCCTACCTGAAGCATTTCAAGAACCACTTGACACACATACAACAACATCAGATGCACACCAAATATTTGCAATGTATGTATGTATGTATGTCGTTCAACCCCGCTAGGACTGTACACTGTGCGACCAATACTGGGTGACACAAGGTGCCATCATTCAGATAAGGATCATCTGGGTACAAGTCTCAGAAACCCCCTTCGACCCTTATTTTATATTAAGGCCCACGACTAAATCTGGGGTGGGGCTTAATAAATGAAGAGAAATTGCATCCCATACTGACTGACTGACTTTCTACTCCACCAGGACATCACACAAGCGATAAACACCCGATGACACAAAGTGCCACCATGCTGATGAGGATCACCGTGGAGAGGTCCCAGAAACCGCGTTCAGACATTTGGCCATATGTATGGCCTGCCTATATTGCGGCCCCTGGCAAAAGCCAGAGTATGGCTTCAAATGACAAAAAATTTCGTCCTGAAAAGGACGAAACTGGCATACTGGGATGTCATTGTTATAATATTTGAAGTTACATGGACATTTGTAACTTAAACAAAAATCAATTTTAGAAATTAGTACAGGCACATTGTATGTCACATATATATTTTAACATAGATGTTCCTAACTGTCTTCATAATTTGCACTTCTGTTTTTAGAAACATAAATATAATTTTATGTATCAACAAATTTATGTACTACTTTCCCACCATATTAATGCTTTTGTTTGCCTATAAACAGTTTTTTCCCCTGATTTATTGATGCCTTTCAGTTATTATTAATCTAGTGTTTTTGGTTTAAAGGATTTGTAAACAGTGAAGGTCGGGTGCAACTGATCTCCAATACCCTGACCCTGGTTGAATCAGCTCATCTGATTTCTACAAGCATTTTTAGGGGACACATTTTCCCTGACCTTTGATTTTTTCCCTGTCTGTCTGCAAGACAGTAGGTTTTTGTCCCTCTTTGACTTAATGACATGTGAGATCCTACTAGCAGCTACCCAGCTATTGACACAGCTCTTAGGATCATTGAAACACACAAACCTGTTTGCCAGGTGGAAACACATCAGAGGAGTTCATTGAAGTTTAAACTTTTTAGCCCCAAAACATTTATAGCAGATTCCTAAGATAATGAGAAAAACAAAACATAATAAAAAATCACAAGTGCATAACTTACAAAGAGCCAACATACACCACGCTGCTTGTTAAATTATCTAACTGATTTATTTAGTATATTCAGACCAAACTTAAAATATATAACACATTGTGCATTGTGTGATACAAACTGGCAAAGGCTGGTTACACATGGTGCAGTACCTGGAGTACACATGGTGGAGTATTTATTCAGCATGACAATTCTTATGTTGTTTAAACTGAAGATTGTTCTGCTTTCCCTTCAGAAACTACACCATCTTGATGAGCTGCCAGAAGGCTGGTACTACAGTGGGTCACGGTTTGTCAGTATGGATGGCCAGCGGTCACAGAAACATCCAAGTATCCTTTTTTCTGTTCTGTTAGCATTCGTTTATCGGTGGTACAGTTACATTTTATAGCATCTGAAATGAAGGGTTCTCAAGACTTAGCAATTATTTAGATCTAGAGCAGTGTTTCTCAACCTTTTTACACCTGTGTCACACCAAAACTAGGTAAACTGTTTCACATTCCACCTGACAGCTAACCAAACAGGAAACAATAACAAATGTAGAAAGCAGTTTATTTGTTAAATCTGATTTCACAGAACTACACTTTCTAGGTAATGTGACAGCTGTTGTTGATTAGAGGTCACAAAACCTGAATACATGGCTGGAGCATTGTTTCTGACAGATGAAGCGCTACAGTAACATCCATTTGATTTATCTTTTTGGTTTTTATTATTGACTTCCCTGAGAAAGTTTTTTCCCCCACATAAATAGAAAGTCCTTGAGATGTTAATCCTACAGACTAGTAGAGAAACACCACCTATCCTACCTCATTACATGATTCATCAGAATTTTTGGTGGCCCACCTGGACTTTACCATAGCTCACCAGTGGGCTGTAGCCCATGTGTTAAAGAACACTGATCTAGTGCTGACACATTTGATGGAAAAAGGGCAATGAAAAAACACTACCTGTATGGCTTGGCTACAATGCTTAGGTGGAACAAAAATACTTCACTTGATTCAGGATTATTGTGACTATGAACCATGAACTCTGTAGCTTATCTGCATGGTACATGATAGTGATGATCTTATATTTAATTAACATATGTATGTTGTCATATGTCATTATTCCTGTGTATGTTCTGGGGCCCCATGGGGGTGGGGGGGGGGGAATCCAGGGAATAGATCCCCCGGCTGAAGGCATTTTGTAAGAGTCAACTAAATTTGGATGTTTCCTTGAAGATGCATTTCATCTGCCTGAGAGGTGAGTAACCAGCAATGTGTGTCAGATGAGCCAGTTATGCAAAACAGATGTGCATGAAAAGCTCAAGTTCTGAAACAAGTTTAAAGTCCAGAAGTGGATGAACAACCACACTTTCCACCGGAGTTTACAGCCGGTGAATGCTAAGAAGACAAAGATATGTAATTAAAAGGTAGTTTTGGAAATGAAACCTCAGAAATCAGAAACATTTAATAGAAAACAGGTTCTTAGTCACTAATTTAGTTTTATAGCCAGTCTATCTCTGATACAGGGCACCTATGTCAACATAGTAAAAGTCAAGTTATTAGATTAATAGTTTACACTGATACCTTTACTAATTTAGATAATTCATGCAAGAGTCACATTTGTTAGCTAAAATCTTCATTAACCGAAATGTGATTGAAACTGATTGGTGCAAACATTTAGCCAGTAATGACAATTTGTTTTCATAGACTATTTTGTTCCCATAAACCTTTCCTCAACTATTCTTAGATCTGGAGAAATTTATTCAGGACTACCTCAGTGAAAAAAATGCTGAAATAGAAAGGTACAATGCGAAGCTGGAGTCAGAAAATTATGTCAAGCTGTGGGAGAAGTGATTTTGCATTTCTAGCTATGTTATTACTGATTTTATTTATTAAATTACAAAAATCACTTGTATACATTTGCTATTGTACTGTTGCATAGTTTTTAAAGTCTATTTGGTTTATATGAAAATTATACTTGTTGGATGCTTCAGAATAATAGACAAATTATGTTAATACTGGGAGCTTCGTTTGAACACTGGCTAAAACATAGTGGGCAATGTTAAAGAGGAGTTGGGATTTGGAATTATCTGTGGTGGGGGGCTTTAGCCACGGGTGCACTTAAGGATTGCTGGAATGAACCAAAGCAGTAGTATTGGTAATGGGTTAAGTTTCAGGTGCTGGGAGGGGGGGGGGGGGGGTGTTAAGGGCTTTTGAAGCATACATTTATTGTGTGGGTTCCAGCTGTAAAACTTGAATAATTAAGTGTTTCCTTGAAAATTAGAGTGCATCTGCCAGAGCGGCAGGGACCAGCAGTCTACTTACAAATAAACCTGACTGTAAAATAGATATGCACACAAAACTCAAGTTTTGGAACATGACTAAAGACCAGCAGAAATGAATGAACAACCAGAACTTTCTTTTAGAGTTTACAGCCAGTGAATATGAATGAGCAGAAGAAGAAGAACAAGAAGCATTAATAAGAAGAGAAGAGATGAAAAGTCTGAGAGAAAAAAACTCCTCATACTGGTGTTACCTGGGGTTGGGAAGAAGAATCTGTTACTTTTGTTAACTAAAACAGAGGGTACCAAATTGGTCTGAGAATCTAAGCGGTAGATGCTTGCCTGCTCACATATGTCTCTGTAGGCCATGTATTAGTTATGATGCTCACCCTGTGGTGAAGCCTCAGACATGTGTGCCAAGTTGTTTCTAAAAAGGTCCACTCCATGCTACTGCAGATTCTTCTCAGATATTTGATCAAGAAGGCATCTAGACAACCGATAATAAATCAGTCACTGAAAAGAATGCTTTGGTATGCTGTAAACCTTCAAAAGTCCAAAGAGGTGATTAGCAACATCATCAAATGTTATGCTGATATGTTAAAATTTATCATCTTATATGATCACTTATTTAGATCAGTTCTATATTCTTATTCTGCCGTGTCATGAGATCAAACTGTCAGCGCATTGTTTCTATTTTTCTCATGTTGTCATCCCACCAGATTTGCCATTTGTGACTAATCTTTCTTTATACAGGGTTTCCTGGATCTATAGCCTAGTTGCAATCCAACTAATAAGGGGGCAAGACAAATTTATAGTTTTCAACACTATTTTCATCTAAAGGGTTATTCTAATTGTACATAAAACACAGAGAATTGTTGTTGGGGTGCATCCGTTATACAGATCTTGCTTGTTGGAATGTAGACTGCTGGTTCCTTGCCTCTCAGGCAGGTGCACTCTGACTTCAAAGGAAGTTTCCCAGTTAGTTGCATCTTATGACATGCTTGTTGGGGGAGGCAGAGGGTCTTTTCTCGTTTTCTCCCTCCCATAATGGGGCTCAGAAACCCATATGAGGAATTCACAGAGATTTAATCAATGAACATTTAATTATTTTACAAAAGGGGGTATAGTAAAATGGTCCTTTTTTAATGCCTTTACGCGTATTGGGCATAGAGGGCTAGACTTATACTTTTATAGACTAATCGGCGCTGGGTGGGTGATGTGGTCAGCATCACGCCAGACATCAAGGGATAATGCATAATATATACTCTACTGGGAACTTTTCAATCCTATGTTATCTTTCCTTATTTATTTTTGTGTGGTCTCGGTACAGCTGGTCTAAGTCACATAAGTTCTAAACTGAAGAGAAGGTACCCTTCTTTTCATTACATGCCCGATGAATCTTGACTGTGTGTGTATCAAAGTTCTCTAATCAATCAATTTATTTTACATGCTACATAAAAGGCTGCTTGATTTGTTTTTATATCTGCCCATGATACTCTTTGAATTTTTTTCAGAAACCACATTACCACTGTTAGATGTTTCTCAATATGTCTGCATATTAGTGAATTAAAGGCCTTGAGGCATTTTAGGCATATAGAGCAAGACCTATATTTTATACATTGCTCGATGGGTGTACCTAAGGTCAAGTCAACTTGGGAGCCAAGGTAATTTGTGAAAAAAGTCCAGCTGCGTCAGGACTTAAACTGTCGACCTTCCAATCTGCAGCAAGCCTCTGCTTATTGTCCAGGTTAAACTGCATGTAACAGCACATGTTCTTTATAGCATCAGATATGACCTTTCACTCTCCAAGTTTCGAATTTAGTATTATCTGTGTGCTATAAAGCTGCTGTAGAAACTTCACAATTTCTTTCCACGTTTTTATTTTTATTTTTCCTTCTCCACTTCCTCCTTTCCTCATCTTTTTTCTGTTTCTTCTTCTTCTTCTTCTTCTTCTTCTTCTTCTTCTTCTTCTTCTTCTTCTTCTTCTTCTTCTTCTTCTTCTTCTTCTTCTTCTTCTTCTCTCTCTCAAAAGGGTGGATGACACGCTGTGTTGTGAATCTACTGACTAAAATTCAGGTAAGTATTTTAGTGAGAAGTACTACAAACAGCATTGTCAGTATCATAACTAACCTGCAATGAATGTCTGTCAAGTGTTTTGTCATAATTTGACAGCGAAAGTGGTATAAAATAAATTGTTTCGTGTTTTCCCATGTGGCAGAGATTGTTGCAATCAAAAATGTATAAAAGTAGGTGTTTTTTTAAATCTTTTTATGTGTGTCACTATCATGCTCAGTTTATTAACAGTTTTTTTCATTAATCTGTGTGGTGATCATGTGTATTTTTACACATTTTGTGATTTGGTGATTTCGGTGAGGGAAAGTTTAGGTGCTTGAGCTGTGAATACAGGGATAACCTGTACTATACCACAGATGCCAACAAGCTTTGTGCTGGTTTTACAGAACCTCACACATAATCCTGCCGCACCAGATGCTATTCACCACCAATAATGGCCAAAGTGGGACTTAATTTAACTGAGCTGGGTGGGATCACGGAATGTCCCCATGCCCCAGAAATACAGTATCCTGCAGTTATAAACTTTGAGCACATTCTCTCTGCATGGGTTACTTCAGCTGAAAGTTGTCTTAGGAACATTAATTATAAAGTCTATTGGCAATGCTTCATACCAAATGACTATTTTTGGTTCATAGGTTTAATTTTGTAATTAAAAATCGGCATCACAGTACTCTTGACATTCCCATTATCGCTCCCCCCATCTTCAACAGCAAGCGTACAGTTCTAATTTCTAGTGGTACCAATAGCACTTTCTCACCTTTCCCTTGAGTGCTGATCGTTGACCAGATCGCCTGGTCACTCCTGGCAGTGTCAGTCTCTTAAAACCGTAATGATCAATCTGTGGTTCAAACGTCTGCCATTCAAATATCCTATTGATGACCCCAAAAAAAAAAAAAAAAAACACCAAATGTCAGTTGATCGAAGAGCCTGCTTAATGGAAAAATAATGTCGAAGTGTCTGATGTCAAGGGCTATTCTCGCTGAAGTGGCACGACCAAGAAAATTTAACGCCTGACCCATGCTTTCCGAAAGTTTCAAAGCAACATTGTCTGTGATAATACTGATGGCGACGGCCACACGAAAAGTACTCCCGGTTATCAGAACAAACAGGCTGAGGAAGCGATTTGATTGTTTTGTAAAGGTCATTTTTTTTTTCTCTGCGGACTGCTTCCTACCGATCCCCAGGGAAACAGCCTGTGATTATTTGGAGGAATAATATAAGAAAGGGAGTTAAGGTAGGACGTGACGATTCCTTGGATGAACCCAGTACTTAAACGTCATATATGGGCTCCACATTTTTAGAATCCTCCTTATTTGGCGGGCCCTGCCTTTCATTGAGGGCAGAGCAGGATGGGTCCACTGAAAGGCTAGCATGGAAAAAGATATCATAATAAGTCGGTCAAAACGTGCAGATATTGCAGCTGTGCTGTAAACAGCACCTCGGTCGGACAGACGATGGCGAGAAAAAGAATGATATAAATTTATATTTTACAAGAGAATTTGGTGCTAAATCAAGCGTGCTTATTAGACACCTGTGTTTATATATGCAAGACAGTGTACAAGTATAACAATAAAAAATAAAAATTGGATGGTAACGATCACAACTCACTATCCTATAGTAAAAGACCAGCAATTTTAAAGAATAGTGACATACTAAAACGGAGCTATGAAGAGCAAACTGAATGCTGTTTTACCATACCAGCATGTTTGCCATCATATTATCCATTGGATGCACAGAGATCAGCAGGAAATTAAAAATGTTTAGTGAATGTCTATCAAAGCAGTCTACGACTCTATGCACAAAGAAGAAATGTTTCACTGCATTGGAATAAACGTTGCTATCTTGATATTATTCAAACCATTTAAATCTCGATAAAGCTATCTAGTTTGAAAAAAAAAAAAAATGCCAACTAATGCAAACTGTTTGATCAATACCTCCCACCTCCGTCTGTCAATGGGCTAGACCAGTGGCTCTCAACCTTCCAAATGCTGCGACAATTTAATACAGTTCCCTCAAGTTGTTGCGACCCCCCCCCCCCCCCACCGGCAATTATTGTCTTTCTTAACTTCAATGAATGTGTGTTTTCCGATGATCTTAGGCGACCCCTGTGAAAGGGTCATTTGACCCACACACAACAAGTCGCGACCGCAGGGTGAGAAACGCTGGACTACAGGATTTTGCTGCTAGCTCCGGCGGAAAGTTCTAGTTTTTCATCCACTTCTGGACTTTTAGCCTTGTTCCAGAACTTGAGTTTTTGCATGCACATCCGTTTTACAGATCTGATTTATTCGTATGCACACTGTGGGTTCCTTGCCTCTCAAGCAGAGAAACACTCCGACTTCGAAGGAAACCCGTAATAAGTGACTTTGTACCTTTATTGAGGCAGTGGGTGTATTTTCGTAAGCTTGGCGCTTGTCGTCCAGGTAAGCTGACTGCTCTAATTATGCTACCGCAACGACTTAGTATCTCACAGTACCTTTTGCAAAGTCACCAATTTCG